AAAACACGAACAAGCCGAGGCTGGTGTGTGACTTCAGGGCCTTAAATGCAGTGTCAGAACCAGTAGCCTTCCCTATGCCCAGGATTGACGACATTTTGACAAGGGTGCGGAAGGGAAAGATTTTCACAAAGCTGGACCTAAGGGGGGCGTACAACCTGGTACGAATAAGGAAGGGGGATGAATGGAAAACCACTATGTTCACCCCTTTAGGGGCATTTGAATATTTGGTTATGCCCTTCGGTCTACAAGCAGGCTCCGCAACATTTCAATCGTTTATGAACCACGTCCTGGGGCCTTTGCTTTACAAGAATTGTGTGGCCTTTATAGACGACGTGTTGGTGTATTCTGAGAATGAGGAGCAGCATGTGAGAGACGTCAGAGAAGTGTTGAGCAGGCTGCAAGCCAACCAGCTGTGGGTGAAACTGGAGAAGTGTCAGTTTCATACCAAGGAGGTGGAATTCCTGGGGTATCGCCTGTCTGACAAGGGATTGGCCATGGATCCCGGCAAGGTCCAGGCGGTGCTGGAATGGAAAACACCCAAAACAAAGAAGGATGTGCAGAGGTTCCTAGGATTTGGGAATTTCTATCGTAAGTTCATCCGAAACTTTGCCCACCTGACGGCGCCCATTACGGACTGTCTCAGCAGTAAGAAGAAGTTCGTGTGGACTGAGGAGGCGGAGCGAGCATTTGAGGAACTAAAAAGGGCCTTCGGGACTTCCGGGTTAGCGCCATCGCCGAATGGCGGACTCCCTCCGAGCTCCGGAGGGAGTCTGCTCGGCAGGGGCTGGGTCCTACCGCGCCGGCGACGCGGGGACCCTTAAAACCACGGGCACGGAGTCCGTGGACATGGGTGACTCGGCTTGCACCATTAGCGCCCTCCCGACTCGTGGAGGAGCCTTTGGCAAGGCTTCGGATCAGGTGCCGGGGAGTGGCGTGGTGCTTTGAGTCCACTGCTTTCCCTGCCGAGCGCAGCCGCATGCCATTCGGCGGAGAGCGCTGACTTCTTCTATTGAAAATTTGGACTATTAACAACAACCCGTGAGTAATTGGGAAACCGGGTTCAAAATTTTGGATTTGGCACGAGCGGGGCGATTTAAAAGGAAGTCAATCCCCCTATTGTAAACATTCCAAAACAAGGACTGGGTAACCAAGGTCCAAAGGGAAGTATGTCTTTGATAAAAATCATTAATTTCACGATGGGAAATTATAAGAAATGTGCTGGAGGAGAAGAGTGGAGGGTGAGAAGAAAAATGCAACCCCCCCCCTGGGAACCGGGGCGATTCGTGGAGCTTGGTGAAGAGAGACGGAGACTTTGACAGCTGTCAAAGTGGCTGTCAAAGCTGGAGAATATAAAGAGGACTTTACGAGGACCTTGCTGGTTAATTTTGTTACAATTTGCTATAATATGGATATAAACTGTTGGAAAATAAGCAACAATTTGACTTTTGGATTAGAGGATACAAAGTTATTACAATCCCCTAGAGGGGTTTCGGGATACTACAAGAACGGTCGTAAGTGGAAAAATACCCTGGGATTCGCACAGGATTTGTTATCTTCTGGGAAAGCTGCAAAACTGAAAGAATATTTTGTCTACAGAGGAAGACAATGGAATTTTTATTGAAGAAAGAAAGGGACTGGACGTAAGTTTTTGTTCCTGAATAACAAACCTCTGCAGAGACACTAGATTTCTGAATTAGAAAGTTTTAGCAGCTGAACAGGACAAGAAACCTGAGAAAGTGAGGAATAAGAAGAATAAAGGACTGATTACGACACGGAAAGAACAACGGGAGGAGTGGTAAAGATCAAGGAAATTAAAGGCCTTTGTTAGATTGGACATTTGAAGTCAAATATTATTTAAATTAATAAACTAAAAGAAAACCGGCAAGATGGAATCGGGGAGAAACCTGGTCATGAAATGAGACTTCCAAGCTGATAACGTATAGACTGATGGACATGGGGAATTCGAACCGGGGAAGGGGGGGGGGAGATTTGAAATCCAAAGGCTGTGTAACTATTTTTTGAATTTTTCTATATCTCTTATTTTCTATTTCTTTACATAACTTACGCATGTTATTTTACTTTGATCGGACGTGTTTAAAAAAAGGGAATTTGTGGAAGGAACTGGGGTGGATCTTGGGGAAAATCTTTTTTCTTTTTCTGTTAATGATGTGGGACGGTGGTAAGATTTGTACAATAAAAAGGGCCTTCGCCTCGGAACAACAACTCCTGCATGTGGATTTACAAAAACCAATGAGAGTGGAAACTGACGCATCAGACAGAGCGATTGGGGCGGTGCTTCTGCAGCCAGGGAAGAAGGGGTCAGAGTGGAGACCGTGTGCCTTTTTTTTCGCGAAAGCTGAACAAATCCGAGAGGAACTACACGGTGTATGACCGAGAACTACTAGCCATTCATGAGGCGTTCTGGAGATGGAGGCACCTGCTAATTGGCGCACAACATAAGGTGCAAGTGTGCACTGACCACAAGAACTTAGAGTATTGGAGGACGGCACGAGTGCTCAACCAACGGCAAGTGAGATGGGCCCAGGAGTTCTCCAAATTTAACTTTGAGATTAATTACGTGCCAGGCCCAGAGAACATTAGGGCGGACGCTCTCTCACGCAAACCAGAATATTTGGAGGGGAGGGGGCACCGAAGAGAGACATGTCATTCCAGAGGACCGCTGGGTGTGTGGGCGGCATTGGTGGGACAAAGAGAACTGGTAGAGGAAACAGAGAATGATGAATACGCCCAGAATAAGCTCAGAGGTCTTAGGGGTGAGGGAGAGGAACCAGGGGTTTCGAGGAAAGAAATGGAGCTTTGTATTACAAAGGGGCACTGTATATCCCTGAAGGAGAGTTAAGGGGGGGTACTCAAGCAGTTGCACGACAGCCCTACGGCGGGGCATTTTGGACAACACAAAACCATGTGGTTGGTCACCAGGGAATTTTGGTGGCCTAAGGTGAGGGAAGATGTACGTGAGTATGTAAGAGGGTGCGAGCAATGCCAGCGAGCCAAAGGGGAAAGGCGGGCGCCGGCGGGGCTATTAGAACCCTTACCAACCCCAGAACGACCTTGGGAGGCAGTGTCGATAGATTTTATGACTGATCTGCCGAAATCCAAAGGGAAAACAGCCATCATGGTGGTGGTAGACCTACTAACAAAGATGTGCCACTTTGTAGCTTGCTCGCATGCAGTCACGGCAGAAGAGACAGCGAGTTATTTGTAGAACACATTTTTAGGTTGCACGGGGTGCCATTGAGGGTGGTCTCAGACCGAGGAAAACAATTTACTTCCAGGTTCTGGAGGAAGCTCATGAGCTTACTGCAGGTGGAGGTCAATTTTTCGACTGCCCGGCACCCTGAAACCAACGGGCAGGCGGAAAGAGCAAACGGTGTCCTCCAGCAATACCTGAGGTGTTATGTCAATGACAGAGAGAATGACTGGGTAGAAAAGTTGGCGCTGGCGGAATTTGCCTACAACAATGCCGAGAATGTGTCCACAGGGATGAGCCCCTTCTTGGCTAATTATGGGTGTCATCCCAGGGCTTTCCCAGGGGAGAGGGGAGAGATGGAGCGTCCCGGCAGCCGAGCATTTTGTGGAAGAAATGGAAGCAATCCATCGTCAGCTCCAATTCAACTTAGAAAGGGCGAAGGAAGAATACAAGAGGCAGGCAGACAAGAACCGAAGGGAAGGTGAAACCATAAGGGTGGGAGATAGGGTGTGGCTGTCAACCCAAGGGTGGCCGTTCAAAGGAGGTTGTAAGAAATTAAGACCCAGGAGGTTGGGTCCCTTTGAGGTCATTCAACAGGTCAACCCATTGGCTTTCAGGCTCCGGTTACCCAACCACATGAAACTGCACCCAGTATTTCACAGGTCGTTACTGTCACCGTACGAAGGGGGACGAGAAGGGCTGGCCACTCGGGACCGGTCATAGAAGAAAGAGAATGCAGCAGCCATGTGGCAGAAATCCTCGACGCCAGGTGGAAGGGGGATCAGGTGGAGTATTTGGTAGCGTGGGAAGGAGAACCGGAGTCAGAAAACACTTGGGTAATGGCCGAAGATATCAATGACGAGGTATTGATAGAAACGTTCCATCAAAGGTTCCCAAGGAAACCTCAGCCTGTGGAGAGGTTCCGGAGGGAATACTTTGGGACCACTGATGAGGGGGAGGAGTTGGAAGGATTCCCGGACTCGGAAGGGGAAGGGGAGATGGACTCTGAGGAGGAGGTGTACTTCGAGACCAGGAACCGCAACAGGTTGAGAGAAGTGTTCGAGACATCGGAAGATGAAGGAAGTTCATTCCGGGTTTTGCCTCCTCACCGCCCGTAGAGGAGGGGGCGAGAGGGGGTGAAGGGGGCCCTGGAGGGGAGGTGGATGTCAGGGAACTGCCATCGGACGGAAGGGAGGTGAAAGGGCTCACACAGGTTGGGAGAGACGCAGCAGCTGAAGAGGGAACCAACAGGGAGGTGAAAGGGCTCACACAGGTTGGGAGAGACGCAGCAGCTGAAGAGGGAACCAGCAGGGGGAGAGGAGCTGAGCTGGAGGGATGGCTCAGAGACACTTCCAGCGAAAACAGTGGAGAGGTTTCAGGACCTCCTGTAAGAACACCCACTCCTCGCCGGAAACTGTCACGCAGAGAGTCCAGAAGACGTGTTTCCGTTAAGGAGCTTTTATGTTGGAAGCGATTACGAAAGCAACCACTGTCGGAATCTGCTAGTGACTAGAGGAGCCATGTCTGAGGGGCTCCGTCACAGACAGAGGTTTGTGCACTTGAACAAACTCTGAGGGGATACGATTTTACGCACAAGCAGCTCATCATCTCATCACAGCATCCCATAACCAACTTCAGATGGCATCAGCAGGGAATGCAACTGACAGCCCACAAAAACATAGGAAGCTTCCTTACTTCTGAGTCAGACCACCGGGGTCCATCTAGCTCAGCATTGCTTACACTGGCTGGCAGCAGCTCTCCAGGATTTCAGGCAGGGGGCATTCCAACTTGGAAATGCCACTGGGGATTGACTCTGGGACCTTCTGCATTCAAGGCAGGTGCTCTACTGCTGAGCTATGACCCATCTCCCCCAAACCATGGGAAGTTGCCATATACCAGACCATTGGTCCACCTGCCTCTTTGCTGTCCACACTGACTGGCAGCAGATCTCATGGGTTTCGGACAGGGGACAATTCCCAGCCCTGCTTGGAGATGCCATGGGAGAATGAATCTGGGGCCTTCTGTATGCAGATCAGATGCTCTACTGCTGAACTGAGGCTGCAGGGATACAGGACAGCCAGAAGCTAAGGTCCCTTCTCCCACCTCATGGAAAGTGATCCACTGCCAGAGTGTAGTTAGAGTGAAGGGGTGGGGGCTGCTCTGCTATGGTACCTAAACAAAGCCCACACTCTTCCAGCCCATCTTGTATTGCTGTGGATTTGTGCAGAAGGTGTCTTAGCCCAGCTCTACACACACACACACACACACAGAGAGAGAGAGAGAGAGAGAGAGAGAGAGAGAGAGAGAGAGTCTGGTTTGCTCTTGTGCCCTGTGAAGTTCTCTGCTCACTGGTTGGGTTGCATTAATCAGTTGTAAGAGCACCCTCTGCCCAGATGTCATACTGAGAGAGCTGACAGCCTCCTTCAGCATGTGGCCACCCTGTAGCCAGTTGGGTCCTCCTAATCCATTTAAATGTGCAGCTCTGGAGCAGGAGGGTTCACCTGGATGGGGTGAAGGCAAAGAGGGGTCAGGAGAGAGCGCGTTGCTCCAGGCAACCGTTGCCAAGGGGACTGGGATGCTGGGGAAAAGGAGGTTGTTCATTAAACTGTGGGGAAGAAGGAGGGGAAGGGTGTGAAGCCAGTGAGGGGAAGAGGAAAAGCCAGCATTGCTGGAGTCCTTTAGAGGGATGAGGTTTGTGAGTTGGAAGCAGCTGGCACAGTTTGGTCTAGAGATGTAGTAACACAGCCTGATCTCAGTGGTGGGGTGGGACCTATTTGACCGTAAGAAGAGCCTGCTGGTTCAGGCCAATGGTCCATCTAGTCCAGCATCCTGTTCTCACCAAGAGATGCCTGTGAGAAACCAGCAAGAAGAATTTGAGCACAAGAGACTTCTCCCTTCCTGTGGTTTGGAGCAACTGGTATGCAAAAGCATTGCTGCCTCCAGCTGTGGAGGCAGGGCATAGCCATCCTGGCAAGTTGCCATCAATTGCCCTTTCCTCCATGAATTTGTCTAATCCTCTTTTTAAATCACCCAAATTGGCAGCCCTCCTGTGGAAGTGTGTTCCACAGTTTAACTACGTGTTGTGCAAATAAGTACTTTCTTTTATCCTGTTGAGCTCCCACTGTAGATTGTCCATCAACATGGCCAAGGTAGCTTCAGCCCCCAAAGTGGAACAGAAACAAGAAGGGTTGTCTCTAGATCCTGTGTGGTTTCATCCAGCAATCCCTGGTGTTGAGACACTGTCCCTTGATTCCTTCATTGCAGGGAGTTGGATTAGCTGTGATTCCTGCATTGAAGGGGGTTAAACTTGATGAGCCTGTGGTTTTATGGGTGGCTCAGGGTCTGGGTCAGCTTCTATATGCTCCCGTGGAGCCCCCAGTGGGAGATGCAGCCTGTCTGGTGACCTTCCCATCAAATTGGGCCTTCTGCTGACCTGCCAAGGCAACAAGGTGGGACTCACTACCTGAGCAAGCAACAGGGCAAGGCAGTCAAGCCTACACCTTGTTTCAAAGGAGCCTGCCCAGAGCCTCTGAGGCTGCTGCGCTCAGCAGGGGAGTTTGCAGCAAGCAGGGCAGCCAAGGCTTTGAACCAGGGGCCTGCTGAGCACCCACCTTTGGTATACAAGGCCTGTGTGCTTCCCCTTGCCTTGGGGATGCTCTGCCTGGAGGAGGGAGGGAGGGGAGGGGAGGTCCCAGTCACGGGGAAACCTTTGAAATGCAGATATGGAGGAGATGAAGGGAAGAAGAGAAAGAAGAGGAGGAGACCTGAATGTCCAGAGCTGGCACAGCAGGGATGGGGAGGGGCAGAGGATTTCCTCCTCACCTGCCCCCACCTGCCTGCCCTTTAAAATTTCTTTCCTCCCAAGTGGCAGGCATGGGGTGGCTGCATCAGCCCCAGAGAGGGGAAGGCTCTGGTGTAGGCAGGGCCTTTGCATTGCTGGGAACACCCAGAAGCAAGAGCATGAATGCTCTGCCAAGCTGGCAAAGGAAAGGAGGAGGAGGCCCCTTCTCAAAAATGGATAAAGCCAGGTTAGGCCAGGTGAGTGTTTGTCTGGTCACCCTCCAGTACTGTCTTACCCCAAACAGAGGAAACCCTCACAGACAGCAAAGAGTGACCTGGAGAGCCAGGCGTCCGCACCTCCTCTGTGGTCCTGGCTCAGTGCTGGCCTCTCTAGCAGATCCTGAAATGTAGCTTCTGGTCCATCCCATGTGAAGGATCCCTGCTCTTTGTAGGATGGAGGGAATGGTAAAAGGCTGAAGGTGACTGGACTGGACAGCAGGGGAAGTCCAAGGAGGAGTTTCCTGCCACTGCCTCCCTTAAGGCAGAAGCTCCCTGGGGACCATGGCTGGTTCAGGACTTTTTGCCACCCCAGGCAAAACTGAAAATGCTACTGCCTTGCCTCCTCCTCCTCTGCAACTTCCCTTGTCTTTGGTTCTTTTGTGATGGGGAGGGAGCTGCCTGTGATGCTGAGGAATCTCTGGAAGGTGCACAGACCCCTCTTTGCATCCGGCATGAGACTCAGGCCAATGACAAGTCACTTATTATTATGCCTCCCACTCCCTCCCCCAGCTGGCCTCCAAAATGTGTGCACAGCTCTGCGTAGCCCCATCGGCCTGTGGCACTTCTGGTTCCTGAGGATGTCAGGGTCAGTGAGCACCGATGGTATTTAGCTTTGCTTTTTATCTGCGCGGTGGTATTTGGGAAAGTGGCTGAGCTGAGCTCTTTCGGCAGCATCACGGCAAATGACAAAGACCCCGTAACTTGCCTGGATCAACAGCGCCATCTTCGCGGTGCCTCCCCTTGAAAAACTCCAAGGCTACAGCTGCACCTTTGCAGAGATCAGGACAAGCACAATGGCAGCGATTGGAGATAAGTGGCAATAAAGAGCGAGATGCAGAGCGGATGGTTGGCCTTTGAAAAGATGTTCCGATGCTTAAAGAAAGTGCCGTATTTTTAGAACACATGTAAAATTGTTCAGCTTTTAGCCATCGAAGACTCTGACCTTGAAGTGAGAGAAGGAACAGCTGAGACATCTGCAGGAGCTGCAGAGGTATGCCAGGGCGGTGGCGGCAGCCAGGAGTTTGGTCAGGAGAAGCAAATGTGTGCTACGAAAGGAACCACAAGCATCCTGGCTCAGCACCTTCTTGGCACCCAAGCAGGGAAGGCCTTGGGGCTAGTGCTGTCCTTCCTTCCTTCCTTCCTTCCTTCCTTCCTTCCTTCCTTCCTTCCTAGAATTGTAGAATTGGAAGAGACCCCAAGGATCATTTAGTCCAACCCCCAGCAATGCAAGAATCACAGCAGAAATGTCCGTAGCAGACGACCATCCAACCTCTGTTTGGAAACCTCCTGTGAAGAAGGCCTCAGGGTAGGCCACAACACTATAGCATAATTATACAAACAGATAAATAATGTTACAATGATAAAACAAGGAAAACCATCCCAGATGGAACAGAATAGGATAGATTCAACAAAATAACAGGTGTATGTGTATGGGGTTTGGGAGAACGACAGAGGTATGTGAAGAGACCATTTCAGACCAAGACAATCCAGTTCTGTGTGCAGGATCCAGCAGGGCCTCTAAGGAAGGAAAAGGGAACCTTTATTGCTAAGGAGCCAAACTCCTCTATTTATTGCTAAGGAGCCAAATGTACCTGTCAGAAGGGATGGGTGAATATGTCAATTTTGGTTTCTCTCAGTTTCTTGTTTTTTCCAATCCTAAATTCAGTTGTCATTTCCACATTGGGTTGCATTTTCTTTAAGACGTCATGAAAATTCATTAGCATTTTAGTTTGAATTTCTCCTAATAGACACATTGTTGTATGCAGTTTTGCCTAATCTACAACTTTTTTTTTGCAAAGCAATTTCCTCTCACACAATGCAATGTCGTATGTTATTTTCCATTGATAAATGCATATTTATGCACACTTTACTCAAGTATATTCATTATTGTACACATCACTTGGCTGGAAAAAATACATTGTAAAAATCAGAGAAGTCTGACTTTTCAAGTGTGGCATTTACTTCCTTACTTACTTCCTTACTGATTTAACTTGTGACCTGAAGGTCTCCAAGCAACTTATAACACTGTTACAAGCACAAATAAATATATTACACTACAAAGCAGAACAACCCCCCGCCAACAACTCCCATCACAACCACAGGAAGGTTTGACTGCACACTAATAACAAATATAATCTTAGTCTATCAAAAGCCTGGGAAGAAAGTAAGGCTTTAAATTGCACTGGAAAGATGTCAATGAGGGCACCAGGTGGACCCCACTGGGGAAAGCATTCTACAGAAGGCGAGCCACAACTGAAAAGGTCTTGCTCTCCCAACTCTCCCTCCCTCCCTCCCTCCCTCCCTACCTTGACCACCATCCTTTGAGTCTCCTTCCAAGAAGGGACCTGGTGAAGGACCTTCCTAGGAAGACCAAGCAGGGGTTTGGAAAGTGCCAGCTGGGTCAGCTTGCATTTAAACATGAACAGGATAAAATCTCTCCCCCATTGCTACTGGTGAGCCAGATCCAAAGTTGTGTCAGTACACAAAATGGCCAGGAGGTGAATCCTTGCGGTGTGCCTTTATTTGGAGCTCCAAGGGAAATAGGAACTGAAGCTAAAGACCAGGGGTGCTCTTTAGGGAATGCTGCCCTTGAGATGCTGGTCAGTTTGAAAAGGGAGCCTTTGATCATGTTGGGAGCTGAAAAAAACAAAAAAGGGAGAAAGTGGCTTGGGAAGAAAGACCAGCAAAGCATAGGCGCACCCGGGGGATGATGAAACCAGCCCCTGCCAGGGGTGCAGGCCCAAGGGTGGGCTGCAAAAATCACCTATCAGACTAGGGGGTGCATGAAATATACGTGTATGGCATCATGC